AACATCAAATGCTGATGACATTCTTAGGAAAGGCTTGTCCCTTGGACCTTCAATTTGTGGTTACTTGGAAGCCAGTGTCCAGATAGAATGACTCAGTCAGCCCCTCCAGAACAGCTCCCTTGATGGAGAACCCACTGCCTTTTCGGACAGTTAGCTTAATCATTTGACAGCTTCAATTGTTAAGGCTTTGCCTTAAGTGATCATGAACTCTGCTTCTCTTTATCTCCCGTCCCTTCCTGCCTCTGGTTGAAGAGATACAGTTACATCTGCAGATACCAGGCTTCTGAACAAACTCTCCCAGTGAGACCATTCATCCTGGGTGGCTTCCAAGAGGGCAGAGGAGAGAGCAGTTCTTTTAATAAATTCATAACCTCATGTGATCATTGCAAGAGCAGAAGCTGATCAGAGTTAAGGGGCCCTGCTTTGCAAAGTACTGAAAGGTGATACTTCTGGTTCAACTGATGAGGCAGAGAAGACACGATGGTGTAAGCTCTGATGTCAGAGTGCTCTGTAACTTAGATCCTTGGCTCCCACCTCCATGAGGTCTGCCCCACTGTGAGTGTCCCAGCAATGCTTAATTTGGAGAGAGTGGGTCAAGCCTTCCTCTGCCCACTGGATGCCCTGATTTGTCTTGATCAGTCGTTGCTTGTAATCACCCATCCTAGAGAGAGCCCTGACTTTATCACCTATCAAAGCAAGCACATAGCTGGAGAGAAAAGCTGTCAAGTATAAAATGCCATCATGGCAAGAAGATCTGGGAGTTGCCAGGGGCAGTAGTGGTGACTATTCCAGACGAGGTCTGTGCTATTCCTGCCTTGTCACAGTGGAGAAGGGCAACCCATTTTACAAAACTCTGTAGAAGCAGGCCACTATTGGGAAACCCAGGGTCCCTGGAAAGACACTTGTTGCACTAAGACTTTATCCCAGACATCGTGTCAAGCATGTTACATATACCAACACATTCTACCCTGTTAGAAGCCAAATATTACCAAATCTTACAGATAAGGAAATCAAGACTCAGAAAGTTTGCATAACTTAAACAAAGCTGAGCTCTGGTAGATTCCAGATCTATTTTATAATGTCCTAGATTAAATCATTAAGTGGTTCCAATGTACATCTTTTCCATTATGGTGAATTCTAGAGGATTGTCTTGAGTCTCCTTTGGATTTTGATTGAACCTCACGTTGTTTGAATAAGTGGGACTTGAGTTGCTTTATGGTTAATGAGGATTTGGTACCTATAGTTGTCTTAGGAGGTATAAGGTCTTTTTCTGTGTTGTCAGTGCAAGTTTTTGGAGGGTACATGAAGAAGGTGCCAAGAAATTCCAACATGAGAGACAAAGAGGACCTAAACTTGGCCTGTGATTCAATTGAATGGGGATGTGTCAGGTGCCTCTTGTATCTGGTCCTCTGTTGGGTACACGAGCAACCAAAGTGAAAGCAGTCTCTGTCCTTAAGCAATATCCAAGTGGTTTGAAAAGACACAGGATACAACTGTACAGCAACACATAATAAATCAGGTAAGTTACAATGATGATTCACATGAGCAGTGGAGGCACTGAGGGTCCTAGGCCATCAGAGGTCAAATATGAGGGAAGGGGCAGCAACAGTGTTCAGACAACATTGAGCAGGAAGGAAGCACAAGCTGGGCTTTAAAGAGCCTAATAGTTTTTGGAAAAAAAGAAGTAGAAAAGAACTTCTAAGTAGAAGAAGACAAACTCCTTATGTGTGGAGAATGCTAGAGCATTAGGGGGATGATGAGGAGTCCACATTGACAGGAACTCTATAGGAAACATTTGGAGATGATTATAAAGTTAATTCGGTCTTTGAAACTTACCCAGGAGTGTGGACCTGTTCCAATGGCCATGGAGAGCTGTGTATATTCTTGAGCAGAGAAAGATGACAAGAAAACTGTTTTTCATGAATCTGGAAGTGGCTGCAGAGGAACTAGTAGTGCGAATCCTGGAGGCAAGGAAACCTTTTGAGAAAATATTGCCAGGATAAGGGAGGTCATTAGCATCATCCAAGGTGAAGGCAGGAAAGCAAAGGAAGGGCTGAGTGGAGCCCAGATCAGGAGGAATTGTGAGGAGGCCCCAGTGACCAAGAACGAATGGAGAGTATGATGGGGGTACAGGCATGTGGAGGTCAAATGGTGCCATGGTTTGAGCCTGGACAGAATCAAGACATTCTTTTTATTTTGAAACAGTTTCCAGGAGAAGGACTCTACTGTTTGGGAAGTAGCAGTGACCCAGAGGTCTAGAAGCATCATAGCTTTGTATTAGTTTTAGCCAATTACCCCCTGTGATGCTCTGATAATAAGAAATAAATATTTCACTGTCATCCATTGTTCCTGGAACAGAACTCTTAAATCACTGTGAATTTATTAAGCGTGGAGGACTATTAGGTGTGTTTTCTCATGAATTAATGAGGAGGCTGTGAGAATGAGGATGTGGGTTGGTGGACAGGAGAACAAACTGTGATAGAAGGCTGGAACTTTTAGTCCCTTCTCCTGACCTACAGGCAGAAGAGAGGGCACGGAGGTTGAATCAGCCACCAATGACCAATGGTTTAACCAGCCATGGCTCTGTCACAAAGCCTCCATAGGGATCCTGAGGGACAGAGTTCAGCTTCCGGGTTGTGAATATGGAAGGTTCTGGGAGAGCAGCCAAAGGGAGCATGGAGGCTCCTGAACTTCCCCGCACCTTGCCCCATCCATCTTGTCTAACTGGCTTTGTTTCAGATCCTTTAAAATTCCTTGTAATAAATCAGTAATCTAGTGAGTAAACAAGTTTCCTGAGTTCTGTGTGCTGTTCTAGCAAATTAATCAAACTCAAGGAAGGGGTCATGAGAACCTCCGATTTATTGCCCATCAGGAGCACCAGTGACAACCTGGGCTTCCAACTGGCTCCTGGGGGCAGTGCAGTCTTGTGGGATGAGTCCTTTCCTGTGGGATCTGCTGCTGTCTCTGGGTAGACAGCGTCAGAACTGAGTTGAATTGCAGGACACCCAGCTGGTATCCAAGAATTGCTAGTTGGTGTTGAAGTACCCGAATCAGACCAGCCTAAGATTCTCAGAATCGCTGTCCTCAAGTTGCCCAGCTCTGGTGTACAGACTATTTTGAGCCATGAAAATTTTAGAGAAGCTGAGGAGAAACTTTTGTTCTTTTTCTAATCAAAGAAGCAATCACTCTGCCCCCCTTTTATGCCTTAGAAGAATGGATATTGGGAACAGGATGCCATCCAGGTTGATCTGTTCTTTGTCTGATAATTTCATCTATTCTCAGTGAAAATGAAGTAATCCTGTCCTGTCATATGAAGTCTCCCCCTCCTCCCACCCCATACCCCTCCGACCCCTCAACGGGGGATTTATACCCGCTTTCCCCCAGTTCCCTAACAGCAAGGAGAAAACCCACCCCATGTTGGAATTTGGTGCAGAAACATTTTGCCCCCTCCCCCACATCTAGGGCGACTGATAAAATGTGCTTTGGGGGTCCCTTCTAGGACCTTCCTTAGAACTCAGCATGAGGAAGGGCAGGGAAATGTTCCCTATTGCTCCTTCCTCGACCTCATGACCAGCAGGGATTTCTCTCCACAATGTCAGGCAGAGGCTCTGGTGGTGGCACGTCCACACGCAGGAGCACCTGTGTCCCTCCACCGTCCGCTGAGCACTTGTACTGCACCGCATGTGCCAAGCCTCATTAACTGTGGTGGGGTCACGGTGCCTGTGCCTGAGAATGTTAAATGACAGCGTTGTTGGGGTAAGACAGTGTAATTGTCCTGCTGCATCAATCCACATGCACAGTGCCCCTTGCCAGTGCAGGGGGATGTGGCTCAGAGTCTGCAGCTGGCTGCGAGGAGACAGGGTCACCCATGCGGCCTCAGGCTTCCGCTGGCCACAGGGACGAGGCAACTGATGAAGGCTGAGACCTTGGGTTTCACCGCTTGACAGGACGTGGCACTGTCCGGTCTTGAGCACCAATGAATAAACAACAGAAGTGATTGCAGGTGGAAACTAATTTCTGCAGCCCCAAGCAGCTCTTCGTCATCTTAAGGGATAGAGTGGCTGCAGGGAAGCAACAGGCAGGTTGGGTCTCAAACACAAATGGAGATGATTGGCTAATAGCTCCTTGGTAAGATTTCAAGGCAGTAATCAATGTCTAACCTGCTAAAATACAAATCCTCTCTGTTCTGAAGTGGACCTTAAAATTCCCACTATCACATGTCATTGTGCTGAGAACTCTTCTTTGGCTGTTGCTGCTGCGCATGTCCATTTACTGCCAAATGGGTAGAAAAATACCAAGAAAAAAATGCCTGTGGATTTGCAGTTCATTTGTATAGAGTGACCCAGTCTCCTCTCGATCATCAGGGTTAACTAACCTGTCGTGATGATGGCCACTTTCCTAGCTTGCAGCTTTCATGGAGTAATGAGCCCAAAGTGGTCATAGGGGCACGATAGAGTAAGTTTTAATGAAACTTATGAAACTTAATGGATGCTTTTTCTCTGGGAAGCACAAAGTTTCCCTGGCAGTAATGGTCAGGGGGTATGGCCACAACAATCCTTTCTTCAGCCCTGGACCTATTTCAATAGCAATGTATAAGTGAATACTTACAACTATATGTATAATGGTGGTTGATTTAGTCAGACTATATATATATATATCATATCCTGGAAAATAGCCCCCCATTCTTTCACAGTATCACAGCAAAATTAGAACCTTACCTGTGTCCTCAAAAGGCCATAATGTTGCTCTATTAGGTTGGCCATTTCTGGAGTGTAAGTAACAGGATGAGTGAATCTTACAGCCACATGTCCCTGCCTTCCCTCCTATGCTGCAAAGTGGTTTCCTGGACTGAACAGACTTTATGCAGGGCCCATGTCAGTGGATTTAGCACTCAGTATGCCTTAGGATAGTGCGTTGGTTCAAGAAGACTAATCAGTAAAGGCAAACTTGTACCTGCAATATTTGCTGGGACCAACAGAAAAAATCTGTGTTCCTTCTAGGAGCTCCATTGGAGACCCTTGTGATGCTGGAAATTTGGCAGCTTCCAGAATTAGAGCAGCCTTGGTCAGTGGTTGCTCATCCTAGCATCCTTCCACACTGCCATCATTACACCCCGTGTAAGTGAAATCACATGTGCAGGAATGTGTTCTAGTTCAGTCCCTTCAGAGGAGAGAAACCAGAACAGTGATGATCTGCCACAGCTTACATGTCAGCAGCTAGCTTGGAAATTGGCTAAGGTGAAGCTGAAAAGCTTTCACAGTCCCCAGATGCTTCCATGGTCCCCAACTGCAAATACTGGAAAGAAAGCGCTGGGGGGAAAGATGAGTCTTTCTTTTTCCTCCAAGTATTAGAAATGGAGTTTTAGTTGAAAGCTGCAAAGAGATAGATTTAGGCTCAATACAAGGAAGAACCTCTATTCAGAATGAACTTTTTGAATGTCCTGCTGTGGTGTGAGCTGTCAAGCAGCGATGTGATGGTGACATAGTTGGCAGAATTTTAGGAAAGATTCAAACATCCATCATGTTGGAGGTTGGACTGAATGAGAATTACGGCTTCTTTCAATTCTGAGGTTCTATCCCCAGAACCAAAGGCCAGAATTGCTGTGGCTTTTAGCAGGTCATTATTGGCCTGTGGTCTCCTACTCAGGGCAGAGCAGAGCTAGACCAGCCCAAGGTTGTCTCTTATGAAGGCCTCTGATGAAGAAAACGTATTAGCTCATGTGCTGTGTGACCCTGTCTCTAAATATTTCTGAGATGGAAGAAATAGAGCAGATTCCCCACATGGATCTGGGTCTCCTTGTCCTTGCTACACTGTCAAAGTCAGCTCTGATGTGTTTTCTTCAAACTCAAATATACATTACTAAAGACAATTCAAAATATTGTCCCTTCAAGGAGTAAGGCTGTTCAGGGGTTAATAATGACTCCTATTTGTTAAATATATGCTATATGCGAAGCACTATACTAAGCAGTTGGTTATATTTATTCATTTCATTTTCAAAATAACTCTACCAGTGGGTGTGATGGTATCAGTTTCTACATGGGGAAACACACAGTAAGTTAATAGTCACAGTCAATGAATTGGTGGAGGTGAGACTCAATCCAGGAATAACAAAACCAGAATTAGTAGCCATGATGGGAGGCTGCCTCTCCAAGGCTAAGAAAAAATTTGAGTCATGTGTCATAATTCTGATAGCAACATTGCTGCCCATGCTTTTAGAATAGCTGAACAGCCCCCAGTGTGGAGAAGCCTCAGTGTAGAGCAGTCCCCAATGTTGAGCAGCCACAGTGTAGAGCAGCCCCTGCTGTAGAGCAGCCCCAGGGTAGAGCAGTCCCAGGGTAGAGCAGCCCCTACTGTAGAGCAGCCCCAGGGTAGAGCAGCCCCTACTGTAGAGCAGCCCCAGGGTAGAGCAGCTCTTATCGTAGAGCAGCCCCAGGGTAGAGCAGCCCTAGTGTAGAGCAGCTCCTACTGTAGAGCAGCCCCAGGGTAGAGCAGCTCCTACTGTAGAGCAGCCCCAGGGTAGAGCAGCCCCAGTGTAGAGCAGCCCCTACTGTAGAGCAGCCCCTGTGTAAAGAAGCCCCTGCTGTAGAGCAGCCCCAGTGTACAGCAGCCCCCACTGTAGAGCAGCCCCAGGTTAGAGCAACCCCCACTGTAGAGCAACCCCAGGGTAGATCAGCCCCTACTGTAGAGAAGCTCCTACTGTAGAGCAGCCCCAGTGTAGAGCAGCCCTATTGTAGAGAAGCCCCCAGTGTAGAGCAGCCCCAGTGTAGAACAGCCCCTACTATAGAGCAGCCCCTGTGTAGAGCAGCTCCCCAGACTGAAGAAGGCCGTGAATTTCGGACAATGGAAGGAACCATTATTTAGTGTTGACACTATTTTTTGGACTACTGACAACCACAGTCTGATCACATAAATCCAGCCTTACTTCACCTGGCTCATTTGCAGAGAATAACAAGTACGCATGCCGATGTGGATACAACCAGAGAGGCCGCATACAAGGGAGGGGAGGGAAAGGCATTTTACTGGTATCTCAAAGAAACAAAGCTCCACACATTTATTATGTTTTTCCTTGTTACAAAAATAATATTTCTTCACTGTAAAACAAATTGGAAAATATGGAAAAGCACAAAAAAAGAAGATATCACCTGCAATCCTCAGACTGCCCAGTGGCCCAGATGACCACTGGGAACGCTCAGGCACACAGACTTTCAGCCACGTAAGTATAAATTCACGCATATTTTGTACCAAAATGCAAATGCTCTGTATACACTGTTTTGTAGGGTTTTTTTTCCCCCCTGAATATATTGTTGTGAACATTTTTCCACCTCATTAAATTTTCTTCTGGCCCATCATCTGAAATGGCTACATGGCTGTGCGGATGAGCCATAATTGGAACCTCATTCCTGTAAATAAATAAATAAAGCAGGGGAAGCTCTCCTACGGGTCGGGCGCAGATGCTGGAAGCAGCAGTGGAGACACACTGAGAGCAGAGGGGAGGAGAGGGGGAGCTGAGGGACCAGAGGATGGGCCTGTTGGGGCTTTGATTTCGAGATCTCCCCAGGCCGCTGAGAGATGGGAGTGGTCACAGGCATTGAATGCTGGTGGTGGATATTTAAAAGGGGCATATGGCCCCAGAGGAGTAGAAGGAAGGAAGGTAATAGGCTGGGAAAGATTGCTGAGGTGCAAAAGAGAATGACTTTTAAGACTCTTGAGGAAAGTGTTTTGAGGTGTGGGAGCAGATTTAGGGTCTGAGGGGTGGAAATCCTGACCAAGAGGGAGAGTCATTAAGCCAGAACACTGAATCTCATCTGCCTGGTAAAAACCCACATCCATGCTGTCCCCACAGGTACTGGAGGGCTGCTCCTTGGTCCCGGGAAAGCCAGGACTTGGACGTGACCCAGATGCACTAGTCCTCTGGGAGGAGAGCTACCGAGGCTGAAGAGAGGTTTGACCCTGCAATTATATCTTCTTGGCCCGTGGGTGTCCCTTAGCTGTGAAGAGATGGCCAGGTGAAGGGAGTAGGTGCTGCTCCCCTGACCACCTCGCCTGCCTGGAAGCCACCACTCATCCTCTCACCTTCCTGGCACCCCTCCAGTGGGGGTCAGTCTGCGGTGCTCCCCACATGGCCTCCAGGTCTCAGGTGACAGTGGGCCCTGGGGAAGGGGAGCACCACAGAGGGAGCTGGAAATTGCCCCTAGACATGTCCTCTGGCCTTCAGCATGAGGAACGGAACTGTCCATGGCCTTAGGAGGGAACTCAAGGAGCCAGAAAGGAGTCCTGAGGGGGCAGTGGGGTAGTGGGGAGCAGGGGTGGCTTAAAGTACTTGCATTTGTCCACCTCAGTCTTTACAAAGACTATTTAACTGAGGTGGTTCTATTATTCCACTCAGCTGTTTTGAATCGGATTGAAGCATTTGCCTGGAATTTTGTTGGGAAAAAAAAAAACAATTGGTGGGGAGATTCTGGAAATCATCGGTGGCTGTTTATGATGTAAAACCTGTCTTTACCAAGGGAGCCTGGGGTTGGAAAAAGTCAAAGCACCTCCTGCTTTATGGTCTTGAGCCACTCTGAACCTTGCTCCTCACTCATAAAAACAGGTGATAATAAAACTTCTGTCACACATGTGGGATGAAAGGTCTAATTGCTTTCTCTGAAGGGAGCAACGGTCTTTCCCTGGGAGAGGGGTCTGTGGAAGCTGTCATTCTCCTCAGCAAACCCTCCCTTTTCTGAGCCCTAAACTCAGCACTGCGTTTTCATGAGCTCCATCCCAGCAACTGAGCTCGGGGCTCTTGACTCACGCTAACAAAGTCTCCGGAGGCGTGTGAAGGAGTTGTCCTGTGAGAAGGGTGCGTGGAAGTTGCTCAGGCCCCTCCAGTGCCTTCGTTCTCTGTGAGCAATCTCTGCAGGTAAAATCATTTATCAGAAGGATGTGTGGGGACCGTGGTGTCAGACCAGAGAAAGTAATTCTATGACTCAAGTGTTTGCCAGCTGACCCAGTGACACATTCACTTCCAAGGCAGGCGTTTGCCTGTCAGACAGACGGACACTCATCTGGCCCTGATGGGGCAGCCTGAAGAGGCCCCTCTTCTCAGAATGCACAATACAATTGATTGGGCTTCTTTTACAATCCTGCTCCAATTTCATCTCCCTGAGATTGCTCCCAGATCACCTTGACTGGAGTTTTGGGTGTTCCACACCCTTGACTCACACAATTATAGATAATATCTGTGTTTACTTTTACAGTTGCCTAATTACTTCCATTGTGTGTGGGTTTTACTAGGTTTAACACTCAGTGGACAACTGTATTCCCTCAAGTTCTGGGTGTGTCTCACCCCCTTATGGGCTGCAATGTAGATGGGAAAGCTGCCAGAACCACCGGGATTATTCACACAGTGGGAAGGTCACCACTGCGTGCTGGGGGTAACAAAGCCAGGTCTCTGACCTCAGTTTCCAGATGGGAGCCTGGCTCACCAGCAGCACCCCTCTGGCTCCCTTGGGTGCAAGGGCATCAGACTATTTAGGAAAGTGCAGGGAGCACTTACTTGATGATCAGTGTCCAATATTCTGTCTGGATTCTGTTTGGGCTTGTATTGGTCTGTTATGTAAGCGATCTCTTGACATCTGTTAACTGATCTCCAGCATTCCTGCAGTGGGCGGATTTCAGCTGTCTTCCCAGTTGGCGCAGCACGTCAGTCAGTGAGTTGTATAAATATTTATTCAGTGCCCACTAATTGACCAGGTAAACAGAGAAGGCCACAGACCTGAGATCATGGTCTTTGAGGAGAAAAAAGCCCTGAGTGTTTGGTCAGCACAAACTGTCAGTGATGATAAGCTGTAGAATCTTTGGGGAGGCAGGAGGGGGAGGCTCTTTGGTTGTTAGAAAACTACCTTTTTCTCTCTAGTCATTAGGCTTCTTGATTCTGATAATTGAAAATCACCAGCAAAAGCCACAGGATGACCCCTTCAAGGTGATTCCCAAATGGGGAGCAGTGGAGGCTGGGCATTAATTACAAGGCCCCAGGACTAGGTCCCTCTTCTATCCTATGGCCTGCCCTGGGCTTTGCTTCTCTCCCAGCTCTGGACTGTCTGCAAACAGGAGACTGTGTCTTTGCTCTTCCTTTCCAGCCCTCTCTGTCCTCCCAACCCATGGAGCTCCATCCTGACCGGAGTGTTCTATGACTCAGCACTTCCCTGGGCCCCGTGGCAACCTGAGCATAGTGGGTCTGCAGGAGTGCCCTCTGTCTTATGCTGGACCCTGCTCTGTTGCCTCCTGCTTAATACCGGAGACTTAATCCTGACTTAACAAAATGGGGCGTCGTTTGTGCTGAGTAGTGCCCAGTGCATGAAGGGAGAGCCGGTTGCTTGTTTCCCTCGAACACATTAAAATCAATGGTGTTTGCTCATCTGGCAGAATGACAACTCATTCCTCTGGACAGCTGGCTTCACAATTGCTCGTTCAGGAGGAAATCTGATAAGAAACAATAGTCTGGTCTTCGGGAGCATTACACCGTTGTATTCTAATTTAAACTTCAGGCCCGCTGACTGTCTGTTTTGTCATCTCCTTTAGAGTGGTGTTTTTTGTTTGTATTTTTTTTTATTATTGATTTTTTATTCTTTTTTTTTTTTTTTATATCGCTGCTGCAAGAAAGTTAAGGATCCTGTAGTGAAGTCTTCACAGACCATCTGAGGAGGCTCGGTCTGACCCACACCGCTTGGGCCCATTCGGCTGTCAGGGAGAGAAGGACTTGGCACAGATTCCCTGAGGCCTTGCGAGGAAGGAGGAGACGAAAGGGACCCACAGGGTCTCAGTGGATTTGTGGGCCATGTGGACCCAGCATCTTCTGACTCTGGGGGGAAAGCAGCCACTCCTCTGAGCGTGGCCACCCCACTCAGGCTCAGCCGGAACAGCCATGTGGAATAACAACAGTAACGTTCAACATAATCCTTATGTTGGTTACGACCGCTTCTCATGTTCTTTCAGCACATTATCTTATTTAGAATCACAGAATTATAGATCATTATGCAGGAAAAAATGGTAAAGAACATTCAGTTTCAACTATAGTTTTGCAGATGAGGAAATTGGAGGCAAGAGACACGTGGGTCACTTGCTAAAGACAGACTCTTACACCCGTCATAACCTGGGAAGAGGCACAGAGAGGCAGGTGTGTTTTGTGTCTTTTCTGCACCAGGCTGAACCTGCTGAACTCTGCACCAGGCTGACATGACACACAGGCTCTCGGCCTTCACAGGGCTTGGCGTCTGATGGGTGAGGCTGATAGAAGTGACATCCCAGCTTGATGGCATGGGAGGAGGCTGTGTGACCTCTTCAGGAAGGCACCCCCCAGGCTGTGGGGCCAGGGAAGTTTTCCACAGGATGTACCATGTCTGGGATGAGAATACGAGGAGTGGAGTCAGCAGAGTGAAGTGCCGGGTTGGGGGCCTGACAGGAGGGTGTGACGGACCAGGCAGTGAAAACTGATGGGATCAACTGAGCTCCTTCCCAGGACTTAGCTATTAAAGGATGGAGAATCGTCCCAGAGCCTCTCTCAGTACAGCAAGGACAGTGTGGCTCACTGTGTGGCACTAATAGTGTCACAACAACTAAGGGGGTTGGGGGGGGGGGCAGACATATGGCAGTTATCGTCCAGGAGAGGCTGAAGACAGAGTTTGGTGACATGCTCACAGTAAGAACTTGCTCAGCTAAGACAAGAACTTAATGTCTGTTTGGGGAGCCCTGGACAGATAAACAGAGGCACAGATGAGCTCTGAAATCTCAGTAGGGAGAAAAATATCAAGCAGGGGACAGGTTGAAGTCTGGGTTTTGTCCCAAACATTACATATGGTTTGGGCCTATGTGCCATTCCCAAGGGAAGATGGGGAATTGACAAGACATAGGATTTTAGAGGTAGAAAGCACATCCTTTATGACCTACAGGGAGTTCTATCTGTGTTCAGTGTGGGATTCCATGCCTGTCCTTGAAGCTGCAGTTATCCTAAGAGGCATGGCAAAACTTTTACAATGAGAGAAATTTAAATAGAATCAATTTAAATCAATTTTGCTTTAAAAAATTCATGCTCGGTACTTTTAAGAAATGGAAAGAATGCAGAAATGAGCCATCTGTGGCTCCCCTCGAGACCATGGATCTCGGTCGCTCCCCGTGTGGCACGGGGCAGGTGGAGCTGCAGCCTGGCAGGGGAGAGGGTGTCTGCCGGGAGGACCCTGTTCTGCCATACAGGACAAGGTGCTGTTTCTCCCTCTGCACCTCCCCGGGGTTGCCTGCCCCTCGGAAGCGGGAAGAGAAGGCCTGAGGAGAACACCACCGATCACTCAGCCTAATTCCAAATGCTGGGTTCCTTCCAGCGATGAGATTCTTTGCTTTTAGATCATCTCAGTTTTCTAAAGGCAGTTTAAATGAATGTTTCAAGCATGTAAGGATATATTCTCTGACTTGACATCATGATGTAGTAGAAAGAGCTGCGGTTTGCATCCCAACTCTACACTGATTTACGTACGGTGAGCTGCCTGCTTAACACTCCACATTCCCGCACGGTGATTATTGAAGTAGGGAAAACGCCGACGTGGTGGTATTGCTGTGAAATGTGAATGAGTGAGGGGCCGCGGAGTGCTTCAGACAGTGTGTGGTGCAGGCAACATGACAAGTGTTATTTTTACTCATCCTCTTCCCTAACCTTGTGATGTTACCACGTAAAGTAGGGTGGCTGCCTCGCCATAGATGAAAGTCCTGCCTGTGTCATCATCCTGCTACCTATGACCAGAGCTGGGACTCAAACCCCAGGTCTTCCCACACTCAGGCCCAGGCCTTTCAGCTCCACAATCTAACAGTAAAATACGGCATCAGCTCCTTTAGAAACCTTCCCTGGTTTCCTTTAGAAGCAGTCATGTAGGAATTTACTGGCGATCAGCTTTATTCTAAATTTTGGTTCCAAAATTGGTTTTTAAGATAACATCAAGAACTATTTCTGGATGCTTGGGAGAGAGGTCATTTTCCCGATAATCTCTCCAAGCACAAAACTACAGCACTTGCAGAGGTCTGCAGTGTGTGTGCTGGCTGACAGCTTCCCGAAGCATTGACTGGTGATAATGAGGAGCCAGAACAAAGTCACCGTGAGAACCCCAGGCTTGTCTCACCCAGGCGGCTGGGTTTCCAGGCCTGGGAAGGAAATGACAGCAGGGCAGGAGACCCTTCTAATGTGGGTGATTGTCTGTCCCTCTGTACCTGGGTACAGAAGGTGCTAGGAGAAGCAGCAGAGGCACCTGCAGGGCTCACCTGTTGTAGACAGGAGTGTGTAGCCCACACTGAGTTGGACTCCTGGTCAGGAAACTGGGACTCAACTGTTTACAAACTGGAGCAAGCAACTCAGCCTGTTTGTGCCATTTAGGTAGATGTAAAACATGCCTAAAAATAATACCTTCTCTGCCAGACTCAGAAGGTCATTGTAGGAATGAACCAACAGAGAAACAAACTGCAAATGCATGATGTCTCACAGGGTAGGCAGAAGGAGACAGGAGAGAGATTGACCCCAAAAGAGATGCAAATTCCTTGAGGTATTGCGAAGTTGAATAAGAAGAATCATAGACTACATCTTTAGGGTTTTAAAAAATTAATTTCTAATTAATCTATTAGATAAGGATTTAGTCATAGTCTCCTTTTTTTGCATCATAGCTTGCCAGGCCACTGTAGATCTAGAAATGAAAGGCATCTGGCCCTGTTCTTGTAGGTGCTCAGGGATAGACAGAAAAGCCTGTAGACAACATCCATTCTAGAACAATAGGGTAAAGGTTGTTGTATTTGTTATTCAACTAGGAGTAAGGAAGTGCCTCACATTGAGGGACATGCACACCTGCAAGCATGTCTTCTCTCTGTTTCTGTGAGTCTGAAGTGGAAGCATCTTTGTTGAGCAAGACAGACCCAGGGCCTGGTGCTGATGTCAGCTGGGGTGGAGTCACCACAGGTCTGATGAGGTCTGAAGGATCTCCCTGAAGGGATGGTCACGGAAGGTGAGGCAGTGCCAGCTTTTGTGTGCAGGAAGCCTCTGTTCTGTCCTCTGGGACCCCTCTGAGGCTGTGTGCAGGTCTCAGCAGGACTCCTGGCTTTTCTGGGTCATCAAAGAGAGGCCAGCAGAAGCTGACATGTCTTCTAAAGCCTAGTCTGGGAAGTCACATACTTACTGCAAGGTCAGTACCAGCCAGTGTGGGTAGGTTCCCACAGGCTCGGACAGCAGAGAGGAGGGTGACTGGAATGACCTGGATAGACCACGAAGGATATTCTGCAAGTTTGGGTGCCCTCCCTCAGAACAGGGGCCAGGACTTACCATAGCAAGGTATTGAGTATAAAAAGGTGTTGTTTGTTGATAAAGGAGGGTGGTGGCACTTCAGGTGGGGGGAGAGTGTGAGCACAGGCACAGACCTCTGCTAGGGGCTGTCATGTCTGGAGAATTGAGAAAAACTTCTCATGGCAGACACTACTCCTGGTGGCAGAGAGGTGGAAGAAGTTAGGTTGGGCTCAGATTATAAAAGATCCCAAATGTACCTGAAGCTGAATCAGGCAGAGTTTATCCTTGAGGCAAGAGGAGCCAGGATGAATAGCAGATCTCAAGGTCACATGGTGGCATGGAGAGGCTCAGTAGAGGAGAGCACAGGGGCATGGAGAAGCATAGACTGCACACAGTCGTCTCCAGAAAGTGGTAGTGAGGTGGTAAGGAGCCCGCTTGAGAACAGCTGACTGTAGAAACCACAGGATTTGAGGGATGGTCTTAGAAATCCTTGAATCTCTTCTTTCTACAGATGAGGTGGTGGGAGCTGCCTTGTACAAGGTTAATGTAGCTTTTCACTATATTTTCAGGTGCAGTTTCAGAGCACAGGGGCACACCCACAATGTGTCAGACTCAAAGAGAAAGCATGAGATGCTGGGAGGTAGCGAGTTCCCCTTACCTTGAACTAATCAATATTAAAGGATTGCAGGAGCCTTTGCTGATGCCCTTGGCTGAGTTAGTGACCTCGTCTGGTAGCCTCTTCATTTTTTGTTTTAAACTTGACACACTGAACTATAATTAGTGTGTCTCTGCCTCCTCCATTACATGCAAGTCCCTTCCATGCAAGACCACCCCTTCTCTGTTCACAACCTGAATGTCTGGGCTGGGCCCACAGGAGTCACTCAGAGAGTATGGGGTGGATGGTTGAAGGAACATTCCAGCCATAGCTCAGTGGCTGGGCTAGATGGCCTCTAAGACTCATTTCAGAGTTGATGATTCCAAACTCCCATGAGAAAGACAGTTGGACTGAGATGGTCAGGGAGAATAAAATGAGTTTAGTGGCAGATGATGATTGTGGTAAGGGACAGAACACTCAAAATAGGGTTTCAGTGATTGTTTCTAGAACTTTCAATTGTATTCTTACCCTGACTTCTCGTTAAGGGAGAAATTATAGTTCTAGAATATCAATCAACATTATATTGCCAGAAGGAAGAAAGAGCACGTTGAGGGGCTGAGGGAAGGCCCCTGAGAGAGCTCTGAGGCCTGGAAACCATGCTTGCTTTCCCATGTATGTGTGTGGGGGTGTGTTGATGGGGGTA